ACATTAGTCATATATAGAATTATTGTATTTATTAGCATTTAAATGACGCTAACAATAGATGATGATGATGACAACAACATTTAGACGAACAATTATGAAAATAGTGCCAATGACCATTCTACTAGTAGCCTCTACAGTTCATCAGCAAGACACACTGATCATCACTTATCGCTCATACTACTAATTTGTACCAATATGTATCTACCGTCGCTGTATCGTCCTCATAAAGCAGATTTTAGAAAATATTTTAGCTGAGATAGCAGTGTGACACGTTTACCCTGGTTTAATTTTTAGACACAAAAAACAACAAATTTTTTGAAACAGTGTTAAAAATTAAAAAAAAAAAAACATTTTTGTTTACCAACATACCTTTCCTCTTTGTTTGTCTGATAAATAACGTTAAAGTTTTTTTTTTGTTTATAAATTCTGTATAGTCAGTTGAAACTTGTCTATATTTTTTCTCAAAGTTAAAGAATAGAGCGGTAGAATAAAAAAAATGAATAAGTTTTGGCTCATGATCACTTTACTAATACCAGTTGTTGATTACCTGCCGGGAAGATTTCCACGAGTATTTGGCTTTCCTTTTGTTGTCAATTCAACCGACACTTTTGCTGATGAAAAAGAGCTGTCATTCTAATTAATTGTAATAACCAAAACTTTGACCTTTTTTTTTGTAAAGATTAGACAGTATCAATTTTTCATGTTGAACAATCCTGACGATGGCAAAAAAAAAAAATGGTGTTGTTTTTTTGGACTCCTGATGAGAATGGTGTGCTGCACCATTGTTGAACAATGGTGTAGCACAATAGATGAAATGTTAGGTGATACAGTGAGATATGTACAATATTTCTAACCTCAGCTTAGTTAACAGCTTTATTGTTCGTTAATCAACTCATTGTTTTTTTAATTTTTTGATGAATGTATGCCCCAAAAAAATAGGGAAAATAAAAAATAATAAATGAAAAAAATTGGAGAGAAAAAAGTAACAACTGAATATTGTTGGCACA